CTTACGACTTGTGACTGAGGCAGCATCCCCAGAGTCACAGGATCAAAATTCAGATCCTTAGGCAACTGACTCATATTTATGACGGTTGCAGTGTGATCCTCTTTTGTGACCCTCTGACCAGCCAGATCAATGGGGAAGCCAAATTCATTTTCCAATCATGTTACTAACTTAACTGAGGGATTCACTTGCCAACTGTGTCAAGAAAGGTCATAAAATGGAACAAAACCCTCTTTAACAATTGCCTCACTCAGCAACAGAAATTTTGGGCTCACTTGTAGTCATAAATTGAGGACTAGCTGTATGAGCTTCTCTGGGGCTTATAGTACACAAGTACTACTCGTAGTAGCCAACCCTCATCATTACTGCACAAATATCCAGGGTACACACAGGACAATTTACACCTCCCTGCTGTTTTCATACACCAGCCTCACTACAATATATAACGTTGCCAGGGTTCCTGCAGCAGTGCTTAAAAACTGCTGGGTGATAACCTGTGCTATAAATTAGATTTAATGAGCAGCTAGTTTGCGGTAATAGGATGCTCTGTAATTTGATAGGTGTATAGTCTTCCACATGCTAACCTTTATGCTGTCCTACACCCATCCAATCTTCCTGCCCCTTGTTTTAGATTTTTTTCTTTAGACTCTTGTTTATTTATAGGCACTTTCTGTTTTAATGTATGACATATCTTCTCTGGGGTTTTTAACTGAGTGTCCCCCTCCTTCCTTATCCTGGTCTATGACTGTAATAAAAAGCAATTTATTTAACAAATAGAATTGATTGCTTTTCAGATTAACAGAGCTAGAAGGGACCTTGTAGGTCACCTAGTCCAACCCCCCATAAATCAAATTTATCAATTTCAGCAATATACAGTATATAAAAGCGAAATACCACTCATGCATTATCACAAAATCTCCAGAACTGTAAAGCCTACAATTTGAAATTTGGCACATATGTTCCTCTTGGCTTCTAGGTGCTCACTAAGAAAGGATTTTTTTGAAATGACCATCAGAGCATTAGTATTTCGTATATTATTAATATGCTCTGATGCTAAGGAGTTCTACTCCCCCTCTCCACCAGAAAAGAAATCTGTTCCAAATGCAAAACACAAGCAGAGGAGTTTCAGTTTCAGTTTTAGTTTCATGAGCAGCAACTAGCTTTAGTACAAAACAGTTGAGCTAAGCCACGCCCAGGCTCCTTGCTGTCTCCTTCTTGCTCACACAGCGAATACTGCTTCAGTCTCCAAACAGCCCTCAACTCTCTCACACACTGACAGGACACTAGCCAGATGAATACCGATGGATGCTGGTAGGCAGAGGCAGAATTTTTTCCCCCTTATTTTCCTCCCCCCAAACTAAGCACGATCACATAGTTTCGTAGCAAAGCACGGGTATAGAGCTAGTATATAATATATAATGAATCATAGTATAACGTAATGTGTATGTATGTACCAGTATATATTATGTACAGATAGTCCTCTATCTACAACAGTTCATTTAGTGACCGTTCAAAGTTACAATGGTACTGAACGACCATTGCCACATCCCCACAGTCACGTGATCAAAATTCAGACGCTGGGCTAACTCATATTAATGATGGTTGCAGTGTCTTGAGGTCATGTGATCCCCTTTTAAGACCTTGTGACAAGTGAAAGCAATAGGGAAGCCAGTCCGCTTAACAATTGTGTTATTAACTTAACAACGGCAGTGACTTACTTAACAGCGGTGGCAAGAAAGGTTGTAAAATGGAGCAAAATTCAGTTAACAAATGTGTCACTTAGCAACAGAAATTTTGGGCTCAATTGAGGTCATAAGTCATTACCTGTATTTTTTATATATATTTGTATATATTTTTGCTTTGCTTTATTGTCATACACCCTCCAGAGTTGGGCAGTCATATAAACTGGAAAAGTAAATAAATATTTGATTTGATGATCAACTTGCAATTTTAACGCCAGCTTCTCCATGGACTCTGCCTGTTGGAAGCTGGCTGTGATATGTACAAATGGTGAAAACGAAAGTGATCACAGGACACTATAATAGTCACAAAAACACCCAACGGTTGCTAAAAAGCCCGAATCTTGATGCTGAAATGGTCATACATGTGAGATCTGGTTATTGCAAAGTCATTATTTTCAGCGCTACCATAACTTCAAACAGCTTCTAAACAAAGTGGTCATGAAGCAAGGACTACCTGCACATTTAGAAACCACGTCAATACTTTCCCCTCCTTTTTCACACTTACAATCGTTGCAGCATCCCCCATGGCCATATGATCAAAATTCAGATGCCAGGCAATAGGTTTGTATTTACGACGGGTTGCAGTGCCCCAAGGTCATGCCAGAGGTGGTATTCAGCCGGTTATGACCAATTCTGGAGAACCGGTAGCGCCACCATCTATTCTCTGCCTCCCAAATCCCAGCTGATCGTCTGGGGCTTCCTTTGTTGCCCTGCATAGGAGAACGGAGCTGGAAAGTAGGTTAGTGGGGTGGGGAGGGAATGGGGATTTTACAGTATCCTTCCCCACCACGCCCACCAAGCCACCCCATGCCCACTAAGCCACGCCGACAGAACTGGTAGTAAAAACAAATTGAATACCACCAATGGTTTCTCCTGGCAGTACCAAAACTAGCAAACAAGAAAGCAATGGTGTAGGTTAAGCTAACCTAGGATAACTTCCCGTTCTGATCCCAGCTGAACAATCTCTATTATAGCAAACCATGCAAAGAATGAACACAGCCCTGGCTGGTGCCAGTCCAATGAAGCCAGCAGTTTCCAATATTTAAACCTCTACATGGAGCTTCTGGAAAAGCCATTTTTCCCCTCACCGATTCGTAATAAGCAAGTGTGATGAACACAGGAGCTTCTTGTAAAAGGAACGATCACAACAAGTGACCACTAAATACAGAGGAAAATTCAATAGTATTCAGGTAAACCCATTTTTTAAAAAAATCACCCTTGGCATCAAAAATGATATCCTACAACCATAGTCATTTTCTACTCCAGTGTGCAGACGATAAAAGTACGGGAAATAATATAAGTTTAGAGAACAGTTTGGCTCTAACATGACTCCACAAGAATTAGATAAAATATGGCTAGAAGAGGAAAAGAAAACAATTAGTAAAACATATAGATATCTTTTGGACTATAAATGAAAAGAAGAAACGGTTACAGAATCTATGATAATTTAGGCTAAAAATGTGGGTCATAGTATTGAATTAGATAAGTGGGAACACATTTGGCAAACAAATTACATATTAACCATGTCAGTCTCATATAAAGAAAACGTATATAAAATGGTTCATCGCTGGCACCTACCTCCTGCAAGACTGGCTAAGATCTTCCCCAAACTACCACCCAACTGTTGGAAATGTAACTACACACAAAAGAACATATTTTCACATATGGTGGACTTGCCCGTGTGCTCAGAAATTTTGGAGAAATATTAGAAATTGGATTTTAAATATAACAAAACAAAATTTAAAACTTGAACCTGAAACCTTTCTGCTAAGTATGATAGATTCAAACATGGAGAAAAAATATCAATATTTAATTTACACATCATAACTGCGGCCAGAATAACCTACGCACAAAACTGGAAACCGTCTTCCATTCCTTCAGAGGATTATGGTAATTAGAAAAATACATGAATGCATTGAGATGGATAGCCTAACCAAACTTAAAAAATAAACAAGATAGTGACTATTATAAAATATGGAAAACTTGGTATGAATGGTTAAATAAAAGATAATATTTGACATTTGGATAAGTTATGGAAATGACAGAAGATGTGCATTTAATCATAAACTATATAGAGAAATTAAAACATTAAAAGAATGAAGGAGTTATTGTAACAATGCAGATCATGTCAATGATAAAGATAAAGAAAAAAAACACCATTGCTCAATATATGCTGTAAAATGTATATATATGTATGTATGTATGTATGTATATATGTATATATGTGTGTTTGTGTGTGTGTGTGTTTTCTTAAGTTATTGCGGGCACTTACATGTATGGTATTCAGCTTTGTTCGGCTATTTTCCCACGTCATTATAGTTGTGCTTTTAAAGTTGTAGCAACGTTTCGGCAGAATTTCATCTGCCACCATCAGGCTTCTGTATTGTGTTCGTCTGTGACTCACAGACTCACATATATGTATGGTATTCAGCTTTGTTCGGGTATTGTAGCTACAACTTTAAAAGCACATCTATATTGACATGGGAAAATACCCAAACAAAGCTGAATACCATACATATAAATACCCACGAAAACTTAAGAAAACATAAACATGTCTGTTTTAAATGTATGTCAAATAAATGTTTTTTTCTAGAATAAAAAATAAATAAAAAAAGCTTGGCTAATAATTTATCAATAAACTTTTTTTGTTGATATCCTTTGCACATTTCCACATTAGCTGTACTTTTCCTGATCGTTATAATAATCTCAGCAACGCTATCAAGTCATAAGTATGTTCACTTGTTAGACATTTCTAGTAAAGTTTTTTGTTCTTAATATTTCTGATCAGTTTGTACTGCAATATTGTGAGTTTCATACCAATCTATACCAACCCTTTAAAAGCTTATTTGTAAAACATTCATCAAGATCAAAGAGAGAAGGCCAGCAAGGGAGAATTTATTGGTATAAGTATATAAAATAGTACAACATTAATGTCTTTATGTAAAATGTCTATATTTTAGCTAAACTCAACTACACAACTATCACTTTGTTGGAGTGCTAATATTGTCTTTCAGTGATGGTGTCCAAAACTTTTTAAAAATTAGAGCAGTCACACAAAAATCTGGAGATGTTAATGCATTTATCTAATTTCACAGGGTTGTTCCTGCATTTATACCTATCCAAACTGCTCTATTTTCATCATAAAATGGTAAAATAATGGTTCAGAAACCCTGAACAATTCAGGATCAATTTTTTTTTAAACACCAACCCACTTTCTGCATAATATTTTGGCCACAGAAATAAATCAGAGAACTTCACAACAGACTGTTTTAGAAATCAAAATTTACACCCCTCTACCCTTTGAAACTTCCTGCTTTGGACCAGAGGTTCAACTGCTTCACACTAATCAAGTACCAAAATTCAAACTTCAGCTTTTCAGAACACATTTTTAAGTGGGTTGTACCGCATATTGACATATCCGTGGTAGTACTTCAACCAACTCTTATTTGTGTTAACAGAACCATAAATCACGCTCAATTTAATAAGACATTAAATGCACTGCATGCACAAATTTGCAGCTGCAGCCTGAGACTGGATATGGGCCATCTGAATTACACATAAACAAAAGTATAGAGAACCACAAGAACAGAAAACTATTTTTCCCTGTGAACTTGTGCTAGCCATCATCAGCAAAACATTTGTAGGTTGCTTTTTTTTTTCAATTCTATTCTGATAGTTCTTGTTTAACAATCGCTTGTTCGGTGACCATTCAAATATACAATGTCACTGAAGTAGTGGTTTGATTGAGATGAGGTAGACTGATTGATTTCATGATGTGGAGCCAATAACTTGGTCCTTAACACCAATGAGACCAAGGAGCTTATAGTGGATTATAGAAGGAACAGATCAGACATCCAGCCCTCGCTTATCTATGGAGACCGAGTGGAGCAAGTGGCCAGTTTTAAGTTTCTGGGTATTATCATAAAAGAGGATCTGACTTGGGGTGCTCACATTGCAGCCCTGGTCAAAAGGGCCCAGCAGGGATTATACTACCTGAGACTTCTCAGGAAACAACAACTGAATGAAAAACTGCTAGTGACCTTCTACCGCTGAACCACAGAGAGTATTTTAATTTACTGCACCTGTGTATGGTTTGCCAGTTGCACAGGGGCAGATAGGACAGCACTCCAGAGATTTAATGTCATTGCCCAGAGGATTGTTGGTTGCCTTCTCCCCTCTTTGAAAGAGCTTTATAACTCCTTCTGCCTGAAGAAAGTTCAAAACATTCTCAGAGATCCATCTCATCCTGGGCACCCTTTCTTTGAACTATTGCCATCTGGCAGATGGTAAGGTAAAGATTCCCCACGCACATATGTGCTAGTTCTTTTCGGCTCCAGGGGGCGGTGCTCATCTCTGTAACAAAGCTGAAGATCCAGCGCTGTCCAAAGACGTCTCCGTGGTCATGTGGCCGGCATGACTAAATGCCGAAGATGCAAAGAACGCTGTTATTTTCCCACCAAAGGTGGTCCCTATTTTTCTACTTGCATTTTTATGTGCTTTTGAACTGCTAAGTTGGCAGAAGCTGGGACAAGTAACGGGAGATCACTCCGTTATGTGGTGCTAGGGATTCAAACTGCTGAACTGCCGACCTTTCTGATTCACAAGCTTAGCGTCTTAGCCACTGAGCCACCACGCCCCTGGCCGATGGTACAGGATAATAAAAACAGGGACAAATAGGCTGAAAAACAGCTTCTATCCCAGGGCAGTAACTCTATTGAATTCTACTGTATAGTGCAATATTAAGGCAACATCAGGGGTTTACAATTCAATTGTATAGAATGTGAAGGATGTGTGTTTTTGTTTTATTTTTTATGTATAATGTGCATTTAATTTCATTGTACGAGGTGCAATGACAATAAAGTAAACTGCACTGATTGGGCTTGTATTTTTGGTCCTTGCAACATACCCATGTAATCACAATTTGTGACCTATTCTGCAGGATTCCCTCTCTCAAAATCAATGGGGAGGCCAGCAGGAAGTCAGAAGTCATGGTTACACGAGGGCTTCGCTCAATAATTCACATGGTCCTCGCTTAATGACAGCAACCAGGATTGCCAGAACTGCTGTCAGTAAGTGGCTTGGCCCTATGGTTTTTTTTTCCAATTTACAACTGTTCCACTTAAAGCCACAGCTTCCAATTTGTGTTGTTAAACAAGAACTGCCAGTAGTGGCAACTAGCAAACCAATATTCTGCAGATTGCACGCTTACAAAGAATTAGGAAAACTCAGAGCCACAGCAAAACTGCTAAAGCTAAATTTCAGAAGGAATCTATACAGATCAGTGTGGGTCAAGCGCTCCCCCCCCTCCACTGGGGGTGGGGAGGCTTTTTTGAGAACATTTTTATTATTATTATTATTTTATTGCTAGGTCCTTGTGTCTATTTCTAGCATATATCCGTTTCCGTCTTACTATCAAATCATCACACACAGAGAAGAAAAGAAATGACATATTCTCACTTACAGAATGTTGAATAGGCAGCCACTCAGGAGACTGGACTGAACATTTGTGGGCAGGACATCTTGTGTGACTCTGCTGCAAACAAATAAAAAAGAGAATAACAGAATATCAGAATAACAGAACAACAGAGTTGGAAGGGACCTTGCAGGTCATCTAGCCCAACCCCCCCACCCATCCAAGCAGGAGACCCCACATCAAGGGTCTTCAAACTTGGCAAGTTTAAGACTTGTGGACTTCAACTCCCAGAACTCCTGAGATAACATGACTGGAGGAAAAATTCTGGGAGTTGAAGTCCACAAGTCTTAAAGTTGTCAAGTTTTGAAGACCCCTGCCCTACATCATTTCTGACAGGTAGCAGTCCAGTCTCTTCTGGAGAGCTTCCAGTGAAGACGCTCCCACAATCTATTAGGTTAGAATGTCTATGGAGATTCTCAATCTTCTCCAGGTCATGGGTGTCCCAAACGGGCTTTTCAAAAAAAAAAGCAATTGGCCTTTCTTGTTTGTTTATTTTTTCCCTTGAAGACATTTCAATTCTCATCCAAGAAGCTGAAAAATTGAAGAAGCTTCATGGACAAGAAGCGAAACTTCTTCAAGAGAAAAACAAAACAAAGCAAGAAAATTCGGTTGTCTTTTGAAAAACACACTAGAGACTACCAAATTAGGAGATCTCCAGGTGGCAGGTTCTCTATATGATTCTGAATAGAATAGAATAGAATAGAATAGAATAGAATAGAATAGAATATTAGAACAGGAAATGAAGAGAAGAGAAGAGAAGAGAAGAGAAGAGAAGAGAAGAGAAGAGAAGAGAAGAGAAGAGAATATCGAATATCAAATTTCGAATAGGGAATAGAATAGAGAATAGGAATAGAGAATAGGATAAAATAGAATAGGAATAAGAATAGAATAGACTAGACTAGACTAGACTAGACTAGACTAGAATAGAATAGAATAGAATAGAATAGAATAGAATAGAATAGAATAGAATAGAATATGGAAAATGGAAAATGGAAAATGGAAAATGGAAAATGGAAAATGGAATATGGAATAGAATAGAGAATAGAATAGGAATAGAGAATAGAATAGAATAGGAATAAGAATAGAATGGAATGGAATGGAACGGAACGAAATGGAATGGAACGGAATGTAACAGAACAGAACAGAATAGAATAGAATAACAATAGAGTATAATAGAATAATAATAGAGTTGGAAGGGACCTTGGAGGTCTTCTAGCCCCACCCCCTGCCTAGGCAGGATACCCTATACCATTTCAGACAAATGGTTATCCAATCTCTTCTTAAAAACATACAGTGTTGGAGCATTCACAACTTCTGGAGGCAAGTTGTTCCACTGATTAATTGTTCTCACTGTCAAGAAATTTCTCCTTAGTTCTAAGTGGCTTCTCTCTTTGATTAGTTTCCATCCATTGCTTCTTGTCCTACCCTCAGGTGCTTTGGAGAATAGCTTGACTCCCTCTTCTTATGGGGCAGCCCCTGAGATATTGGAAGACTGCTATCATGTCTCCTCTAGTCCTTCTTCTCATCAAACTAGACATGCCCAATTCCAGCAACCATTCTTTATATGTTTTAGCCTCCAGTCCCCTAATCATCTTTGTTGCTCTTCTCTGCACTCTTTCTAGTGTCCGTACCAGAGGTGGTATTCAGCAGGTTTTGACCAGTTATGAAGAGCTGGTCACGGAAATTTCGAGTAGTTTTCAGAATCGTCAAATCCCACCTCTGACTGAAGATTTTACAGTATCCTTCCCCTGCCGTGCCCACCAAGACACGCCCACAGAACTGATAGTAAAAAAAAAAATTGAATCCCACCACTGGTCTGTACATTAGAAGTGTCCTCTGCTAAGGTCAAGAATTATCTCAAGCATTTTATTTTGTTTTGTTTTCATCACTGTGCATTACTTCACTCTTATTTACCTGGAACAGCATTTTGCAATTTTGAAGCCCATACTCCCCCGTTTGGAAGGAACCTTTTAGAGTGCTTCAGCATTCTTTATTAATTTATTTTATCAGCACGAGCAATTTGGTGACCTCCATAAATACAATAGAAATCTTCATTGTCCAAGTGTGATTGGGCACCCAAGGAATTTGTCTTGGTGCAAATGCTCTCAGTGTACACAAAAGAAAAGATACATTCATCAAGAGTCAAGAATCATAAGCTACAACATTAATAATAGTCATAGGGTACAATAAGCAATCAAATCATACAAGGAAACAGTCAACCTAGATCGTAAGGCCGTCTCACCATTAATTCTAACTCCAGATCATTTATCAACAAATTTAAATGCGCCAACCCCTCTGTGCGTATCTCATCTCTTTTCAGAATTATCCCTTTGTCTCGTCTCGCTGTTTTCTATTTTTTTAGCCCGTTGCCAATCCTTGAGAGCATCTGCCCCCTTATCTCACAGCAGCTGAGCTGCCCAAAGGCCTTTGATGAGAGATTTTATCAAAGACTTTTCAAACTCTCCATGCATAGAATATCTATCGTTCTTGCTCAAAGAAAAATCCCAGATGCCAAAAGTTGCATCAGCCTCCAAGTTGCCGTATCCAAATTCAGCCTAGAAATTACATTGTCGTCCCGCCTGTTAAGGTTGAAGTGCCAGAAAGCTTTGCCAAGCTACTGATATGGCACGTAGTCCTTGACTTATGACCCACAAGGGAGCCCAAAATTTTCATCACTCAGCGAGAAAAGTCATTAAGTGAATTTTGCCCCATTTTACAACTTCCCTTGCTACGGTTGTGAAGTGAATAATTGCAGTTGTTAAGTTAGTAACACGGTTGTTAAGTGAATCTGGCTTCTCCTTTGACTTTGCTTATCAGAAGGTTGCAAAAGGGGATCCTGTGACCCTGGGACACTGCAACCGTCATAACTATGAGTCAGTTGCCAAGCGTCTGAATTTTGATTACGGATGCTGCCACAGTCGTGTGAAAAATGGTCATAAGACACTTTTTTCGGCGCTCTTGTAACTTCAAACAGTCACTAAATGGACTGTTATAAGAACTATCTGTAATCCTGGATTCTCCTTTTCAATATAAGACACATGTTGTTCTGATCCAGTTCCCCAAATATGACAAACCCACTGAAGTTAACTCAAAAGATTCCTTTATTAGGAGCACCAACAGCCCCGGCAAAAAGTTTCTCTCACAGTCTAACAAGTCCGGCTGGAAGATGAATAGTTGTCTGCCACATCTATTCATCTCTGCCCCTGCCTTTTCTCTCCAGAGCTAGAGTGAGGTTTTGCTAGCAACAATGGCTCTTCTGTCCCAGGGACCGGCCCATAGATTTCCATTACTCTCCTCTCCTCTGCCTTCTGTGCAGCCGTGTGTCAGGCCATGGACCCAGCTGTTTCCCCTCTTCTTCATCAGCCACCTCCAGACCTGGGGGCTGTTAACTCTACATCTGAGAGCTGATGGACGGCCCAGGCTCTGCCTCTGTCTCTCTGTCACTCTCTTTCTCTGCCAGCTCCATTCCCTCATCCCCTTCAAGCTCTCAAGTTGCCTTGATGCTGACCCTGACTTCTATGCTGCCTCCTCCTCCTCCTCCTCTGATTTGGTTGCTGGAGAGGCCAGTGGCTGACAGGTTACAACACATGTGTCCACAGCCATTCCATTAAAAAATATAATGAGAGAAGGAGGAAAATGCTGTCTTCATTGGAAGTTTTACTCTATGTTATTGTTCTGACCCAAACCTTGTTCCAAGGAAGCAACACAAAACAGAGGTAACAGGAAAACCTTTTAATGATTCTTTACGAATTCCGTTCCTTCCCGGTTAAAAGGCTGTTTCAAATTAATTGTCTCTGATAAGAACGAGCCTTGCCAAGGTCGTGCAAGGCTGCCAAAAGCACTAGATTAAGTTGCCAAGAAATATTCCAAACAAAAAGTCTTCAAACACCAACCAAGATAGTCTGAACTTCCACAAGGCTTGAAGTGCAAGAACTTCTTTGCTTCCTGCAAAGAACTCCGGTTTCTCAGCTGGCTTTTATCCCTTAAGGGAGGGGCCATTACCTTGCAGCCTTACTCCTGAGTCACCGTGCTGCTGCAGCTGCTCTTTCCTTCGAGCAGCCCCTGCATGCATGTGCATTGGACACAGGCTCCTCAGGGACCTCTTCATCACTGCTGCCAGCCTCCACAATCTCCAAAGGCAGCACTCCACTCCCTGATGGTCCTGGCCCCATCCCTAAACCACACGCAGGCCCCTCATCTGAGTCCTCACTCTCCTAGACCTCAGACATCTGCACTGCTGCTGGTGAACCACAACAGTTATCACTGCAGCTCATTAATGTGGGATCAGTAAGAATCTAAAAGAATGAAACATATTTTAATATCTAGCTTCCTGCAGATAGAACACATTTCTACCCTACAAAGGACAACATGAACAATTTCCTTGCTGTTCATTACAACTTAATTGTATTTATCCAAAGACAATGAACTGGCTGAAATTAATAAAATCACGGGCAATTCCGTAATTGAATTGTAAAAACTCAAGATGGTTGAGTTCTGTTTTCTAATTACGCCGTAAACTACCCTGTGTGATCAAAGAGATGGGAAATTAATATACCACACCAAGGCTGATATCCAACTTCGGGTGTTTAGCAGGAAGATATTCAACACAACATAGAGGGCGAATAATAGATTTGAATTTATTGCGAGACCCCAAGAGGGTTATCCTTAGCTTCTCGTTCTCAATTAGCAGCAATGTTAATTACATGCCAGCAAGTCAAGTTCAACTTCTAATGACACATGCTCCCCATTGCATTACTGCCTAAATTATATTGTTGAGATAAAGAGAGCATGGGTAGTAAACAAGATTTTTTTTTTTTATGTAGGATTGGAAATATGTCCTTCACTGATTTTCAGTTCACAGGGCTTGGCATTCTAATTCTCTATTTTCCCAGCTTGAAATATAACCTTTAGGAAAGGACGCCAAATGGTTATAAATTTGGAACATCCTGTATCTCTTTACTTGGTAGAAAAATGTCCATGATTGAAGAAGTACAAACATGTAGCAATAGCAATAAGCACTTAGACTTATATACCGCTTTATAGTGTTTTACAACCCTCTC